CGTATTGCTTACAGATATCAAAACCAGGATCAGAGATCTCTGACTGTTAGACTTCTATCTCAAAAACCGTACTAAAACCTCACTAAAAAGACAGGATTTTATTTTACTCTTGTGTTTTTATGCTTCCCATTACTAATTTCTGGCTCTTTCATACTTAAAATTACCTCAAGTCAAAAATTGACAGTAATATTTTTTCAGTAATTAATTGTTGCAAGTCAGGACACTGTCTGTAAGAAAGCAGTCCAAAAAGGGGGGGAAAAAAAAAAGGAATACACAGAAAGCTATAAAAATGAAAGAAGGTTTACCTTGTTAGATAAAACAGCATTTAGTAGATATATGGACAGAACTTCAGCTGATGTAACTGTTGCAGCTCAGGTGAGCGCAACTGTGACCACAGAAGCCAGCAGTTGCATGGCAATAATTATATTAATTACTTTTAAGATTTCTTTTTTTGTACTTAAATTTTGAAGAGATCAATTTATTTTGTGGATCTTTTTATTGCAAAATAAACTATTTCATAGTTTCAGCAAACCTTAGCTAAAAACATCCCAGACAGTGCATATGCTGCCATCACCCAAGCAATCAAGGACAATGTTACCACATGGGCTTTCTTTGATTGCTTCTCTGAGACCATCCATCAGTTGATAGCTGATCTGCCATTAGAGCAAAGGTATAAGTCTCCCTCAGATTCAGTCACCCAAAACAAGTAGTTTGTGCATCTATATACACATTTGTAACATATGCCTATAACATATTGTAGTAAACAAGACTCAATTCAGTGTTTATCAGAAATTACAAAGCATGTACATAACAAACAACACTAAGTCATTGATAGCTGTTCTCTAATCTATACTGTAAATTAAATGTACATTCAACTCGTCTCCCCAATATTTAAAGAGAAAATCTCACTTTTTTATTGTTGTTCTTTTTTACGTGGGTTTATAATGTGAGCAAGTGCTGATTCAGCAGAAGGTCACACTCATGATTGCAAATCATAAAATCATAGGATACTTCAGGTGACCAAGTGACCAAGTGACCACAGGGGGTCTCTAATCTAATGTCGTACTCGAAGCAGTGTCAGCTATGACATCAGACCAGGTTGTTCAGGGCTGGTGTGGAAAACCTCCGGGGGTAGAGACCGAACAATGTAGGCATTATGTAGGCATTAAAAATAAACTAGGATGCACACTGAGAAACCTTCTTGCTGTTCTCTGTGTTCATCCAGCTGGAAATCAGTATAAATGATAACACAATTTCGACTGAAGACAGTAAAACAAAGACCAACAAGAGCTAACTTGATCTAGATGAACTTACAGACTTAAGATTGAGTCAGTTTCAAATAGTCAACCTATGGAATAATATGGTCACCAAAACGAAAAAACAGGATTGTTCATATTAATATACCTTCAGGTCATAAATAATGTTTTATCTTATTTGTTAAAAGTCATTAGTGGTGGGAGTCATTTGCCTAAAAAGGCATCTTGTGCTACTTTTAGGTGTCTGAATTCATGCTGGCAGCTGCCACTTCTAGAAGTATCCCCTTGGTGTTGTCCTCTTGGTTCTGTGCCGTATCTGCCAGTCTTACCTGAGTGTCTTGTAGGCTGCAGAGAGTTTGAGTGGCAAATGCCTAATGTTTAGGCAGCTGTATCCCACCCTGGGTGACGTTTTAAACAGGTAAGTGAAGACTATCTCATTTCTTGATATGCAAGGTTTGGCAGAGGTTTTTGTATTAGTAAAATCAAAGTTTAAGGTTCAGATTTTTTAATCACACCTGATACTTGTGAATATGAATTAAAATTCAAACTATTCTGATTTTATCTTCAATAGATCCATCACACAGATTAGTATAGCAAGTATATTCTGTGACAATATGGTACAATTCAGAGGCGTTGGCACAATTTTAATACTGGAGTGCAGTAATCGGAAACTCAGTATCGTTATTCTTCAATAATTATTTGAATAAACTAAGTGTCTGCTAAAGCCTGGGCTGAGAACTACTTCATGTAATCTTAAAAGACGCTGTCATTTTCCTTAGAAATCATGAAATGTAGCTTCTGATGAGATTGCCCCATATTATTTTTTGATCACTTCTACTTATTTATTTCCTTGTACTTGAAACACAGACAAATATATTTTTAATGCTTAAATTGGAAATATATTTAAATGAAATCTTTTAATTAATTTCTGAAGAAGAGAAGAAAAGAGAAGAGAAGAGAGGAGAGGAGAAGAGAAGAGAGGAGAAGAGAAGAGAGGAGAAGAGAAGAGAGGAGAAGAGAAAAAATACTGTCTACATGTCGTGATTAAGCTTCCACACCAGAACAGTGTTACTGCCACTGGTTGGGTGATTTTATATCTGCCTTCAAATAAGGGAAACTGAGCAAAGAGAGTGGCAGCAACAGCTGGAACCATGTCCCTGTGTCCAAACACAAATTATTTGTAAAACTCAAAGAAAGCATGGCACAGCTGCTGAGTAATTACAAAAAAAATTAACACGTCCTTCAGAACTGATGAATTACGGCACAACCAAGGAAATAAGATCTGTCTGTGGAGTTGGAAACACTCAAGCTTAACAAGTGTTTTCTCAGCAACTGAATCTTCACATTATAAATTTTAGTTACGATAGATGCTGACTTTTACTTCTGGTATTACTTCCTTCCTCGCTGCTAGAATACATCCTCCTAAGAAAATTCCCACAGTTTTAATTTTATTTAAATTCTGTTAATCCATAACATATTTTCTTTTAAAATATAGACCCTGGAAAGCTGACTGACACTTTTGAAGAGGCTTGGTGAGTAAATATACTCATGTCCAAAGCAGCCTAGCTTACAAATATATTGCACTTTCTTAAATCCAGAAGCTGCCACCCAATCTCCATTTTCTTCAATTTAAATACTGCCAGAACGTCAGTATATCCTAAGTGCAGGGTCCTGCACCTAGGGAGGAAGAACCCCTTGCACCAGTACAGGCTGGGGGTTGACCTGCTGGAAAGCAGCTCAGCAGAGAAGGACTTGGGAGTCCTGGTGGACAACAAGTTAAGCATGAGGCAGCAGTGTGGCCTGGGGGCCAAAAAGGCCAATGGGATCCTGGGGTGCATTAGGCAGAGTGTCGCCAGCAGGTGGAGGGAGGTGATCCTGCCCCTCTCCTCAGCCCTGGGGAGGCCTCCCCTGGAGTACTGGGTCCACTTCTGGGCTCCCCACTACAAGAGAGACATGGCCCTACTGGAGAGAGTCCAGCGGAGGGCTCCAAAGATGATGAGGGGACTGGAGCATCTCTCCTCTGAAGAAAGGCTGAGAGAGCTGGGCCTGTTCAGCCTGGGGAAGAGACAGCTGAGGGAGGATCTTATCAATGTGTACAAGTATCTGAAGGGGGGGTGTTGAGAGGACAGGGCCAGACTCTTTTTGGTGGTGCCGAGTGACAGGACAAGAGGCAACTGGCACAAACTAAAACACTGGCAGTTCCATCTGAACCGGAGGAAAAACTTCTTTGCTGTGAGGGTGAGTGAGCACTGGCACAGGTTGCGCAGAGAGGTAGTGGAGTCTCCTTCTCTGGAGATATTCAAAACCCACTTGGATGCGATCCTGTGCAATGTGCTCTAGATGAGCCTGCCTAGGCAGAGGGGTTAGACTAGATGATCTCCAGAGGTCCCTTCCAAACTTGGCCATTCTGTGATTCTATGATTCTTTCTTTCTTCAACTTTCTGACATACAAATTCAGTAGAAATGGTTTTCTATGTCTTCTTCAGCCAGCGAGCTGAAGCACAGAGAAACTATGGTGCAGAAAAGAAGAATCTATGGAATTTAAAAATCTATGGTGCCAAAAAGACACATTCTCAGTTCAGGTGGCCTAATCCAAAGCATCAAAAACACTAGTGAAAAAGCAGTAACCAGGCAGTAACTTGTGGTAGGAGCTAGAGTTCAAATGTAAACTATCTTCATTGCTATTTTAATTCCTATTAGGCAAGCCAAGTTAAGAACAGACTCTTTCTTCTGCTCTTCCCACAGTACAGCCTTGCCTTCGGTGACTTGTTACTTGTCTGAAGTCACGCAGGAACATTAGGTCATCTGCCAAGAGGGAACTGAATCGTCTAGAGCTACCCAGGCCAGCATTCTGTCAAATGGCATAGCCTTTCCCAGGACCAGTTTAATTCCTGGTTAATGCATATGTTTTCAAACTATTTCTGGTCACTGGAGAGCATCTGTAATTAGAACAAACTGCTTCACGCTCTGTTTATGATACCCATCGGTGAAGGACAAGGAAAGCCTCCTTCTGGAATTTCCACTAGGAGACTAAGAAGGTCCTTGGGACAAGGGACTGGACTTTCACTCTGAGGAAGAGGTGAATGCACCTGCATTCTCTGAAGGCAAACTCTACAATGTCTATCAAGTCATTTCAGCAGAAGTCAGACGCATACAGGAAACAAGATTCATATTAACAGCTCTGTAGGTACACAGTAGTAGGTCAACAAAAATTAACCTTTTTGAACTAGTTCTCAGTTATTATGCTGTAGCAAATGATAAATGTTGCCATTGCAGTATATTTATGTTCTCAGCAGAAAACTGTAAACTGTTGGTAATGACAATCAACACATTTCAAAGTAAGTATTTATAAAAGTTCATTTGCAGTTTATAGAAGCAATAACCAAGTATTATAAACACCTACCCATCATCTTATCATGCGTCTTATACTGTATAAATAAATGTCTACTAGTTACCGTGGAAATAAGGTAGCAGTGTACAGTGCTGGAGTCCAGTAGTTATGGTTATGTTAGACTTTATTATTAAATCTTTTCTTAAACAAAAAGGTAGTTCTAAACAAATGCAGATGACACTGATTAACATGTATAAAAATACAAATTGATTTTAAGCCTTTTAGGAATCATTTACACAATAAAAATTAAAAATTTTATCTGTGAAAGAGTTAACAAAAGTCTTCAGGACTAGGCTCTACTTGGTCTATCAAAACATTAAACTGAAAAAAATAACATGAACAGAAAAATTTACCTGTTCACCTTCTTCACCTTTACTACCTGCAAGGCCATGTTCACCCTGGAACACAAAACAATAAAATGAAAATCTCTAACATACATATTCCTCAAACAATTGCATTTGTTAAAGTAGTTCTAATGCACTGAATTTCTGTTTCGGCATTAAAACGTAAGAAATCACTTGGACACTGATTGTTTCTCATTATTCAAATGGTATGAAACCTTCTGTTTAACAGAAACAGTTAATCATTTTTTCTCTCAGTCTAAGAGATCCTCTTGGATTTGAAAATTCTAAACTGATCACTGATGCTAAACCCACTCACTTCAATCCTGCTGTTCTGCAGAGCCAGGTTTCATACATTTATTCCTATTAATTCCTTCATTTTAATTTATAAATGTGAGTAATCAACTGCAATGGTCTCATAAACCCATTCAACTGAGAAAAAGATACCTACTGAAATAAAACTCTTCCCTTCACTTCGAAAATACTATCCTATTAAGCAAGTACTAACAAAAACCTAGAAAAGGTGTCAATTTCACATTCAGCTGATTTCAGCAGATTGAATTCTGTTTTGGAGGATCTTTCACTAAAAAGTCCTGTTATGATCTTCCTGCTCCAATTTAGCCCAGAAAAAGACCTTAACATAACATTTTTGCTACGTTAATGTTTGTGTTAAATAGTCTGCAGCCCGGCTATGTTACAACAAAAATAACTCTTATTTTACTAAGGTCTTTATTAATGTATACTTCTCTATTCATGAGAGATAAGATCAAAATTGTATTATTGTAGCATAAACATTTTCTTTCTCCATCAAACTACCTAACAAGAGATAGTCTGCCTGTCTTTGCCAGTCTTCAGGCTCACCGCCTCAGTATAATGCACCCAATTTTTACAGGTCTGAAGATGAAGAGATTGGAAAATGTCCAAAGTAAAGCATATGGTCTTCTTTGAAATTACTTTCAAAAAATTAGAATGAGCAGTGTCTAAACATTCTTTCTTTCACTCTTCCCAGAATTTCATTTCCTTATATAGAAGTCTAAGGTTTAAATGAGGTTAACTAAAACAGCAGGCTACAACTTGCAAACTTTCTAGCAGCATTTTGCCAAATTGTTCCATTGATATAGCATCATGGGAACACATCTGGGAATTAAGCTCAAAGCTTTAGAAATGTGCAGATTTTTATATTACCAAATAGTTCTGGACTTTTCAGCAACTGTCTGCAGTGCCTGCGTTCTGTTTATCTTTTTGGCTGGGGTGACTGATGCAGTCAACAGTTTAGGGGTCAATTTTAGAGGCATGCCCAAGATAAGGTTGCAGAATTTAATCTAGTAAAATAACATTCCGTATGTTCTCACCTAAAAATGAGTGGTTACTTCCTGAAATAATTTATGAATGTATGCAACTTCTGTTCTACGTCTCATCCTTTTTCAATTATTGGACATACAACACAACTAACTGCTATTAATTTTTGACACATTCCTAGAAGCAAAGCATTTTCTTCATTTAGCTTTCAGTTTGTGAGACTGCAAATCCTGTCTCTACTCAGTTCCCAATTCATTATATAAATTCCTCCAACGAAGTAGACAAGAGTGCAGCCGAAATGCACATCTATATTTTATAGAATCATAAAAACGCTGTTTGGAAGGGACCTCTGGAGATCTCTAGTTCAACCTGCTGCTCAGAGAGGGAATACTGCCAACACCAGTTCATGTCAGCCTTTACTTTACACAGTCTAGATAAGCCTTGGAAACCTCTAAGGATGAAGGATCTGCCACCTCTCAGCCTAACGTGTGTACCCCTGAGAAGAGTCTGGCTCTGGCTTCTCTACACCATCCTGTTAGCTGCAGATAACAACATGATCCCTTTGCCCCCTCTTCCAACCATCTTTTTAAAGTCAAAACAAACCCACTTCTCCCAGTCTCCTATCATACATCATGGGCTCCAGCTCCTAGATTATCTTTGGTGGGCCTCCACTGGGTTGGCCCCAGTGAGCTGCCCTCTCTCCTCTCCTAGGGAGCCTCAAACTGGACAAAACTTCAGATGTGGCCTCACAAGTACCAAATAAAGGAAAATGATCGCTTCTCTTGACCTGTTCACTATGCTTTTGCCAAGCAGCCCAAGCTGCAGTTGGCCTTTTTCACCACAGGGCAACTGAGCAGGACCCCAACTCCTTTTCTGTAGAGTTGCTTTCTAGCAATTTGGCACCCACCATCTACTGTTGCATGAGGTTACCCTTTTCCAGATGTAAAAGACTGTGTTTGCCTTCGTTGAATTTCATGAGGTCTTTGCTAGCCCATTTCTCCAGCCTGTTGAGGTGCCTCTGAATAGCACCCTTGCTCTATTTTCCAATGCATTGGCTCCTGTCTCATATTTGGAAACAACCATGAACTTGCTGAGAGTGCACTCTGGCCCCTTATGCAGGTCGTTAATAAAGACACCAAACAGTACTGGTCCCAGTACAGGCCCATGAGGGATGACACAAGTTACTGGCTATCACTTGGACTTTGCCACACCTTTGAGCCTAACAATCCAGCCGATTTTCCAGTCACCTTACTGTCCACTTATCCAGTCCATATCTCACCCATTTGACTACAACAATACGATGGAAGACTGTACCAAAGGCCCTGCTGAGGTATACAACATCTACTGCTCTCCCCTTGTGCACAACAAGATCCCTTCCCCCCTTATCTCATCATAGTTACTGAGTCAGGATTTGCTCTTTGTAAATCCATGCTGCCTGTTCCCAGTCATCTTCTTGTCCTTCATGTGTTTTGCAATGGCTTCCAGGATTTGCCTCATAATCTTTCCAGGGATGGAGGTGAGGCTGACTGACCTGTAGTTCCCTGTATCCTCCTTTTTGATGATAGGTGAGATGATTGCCTTTTTCCAGTCATCAGAAACCTCCCCCTGCCATCATGCTCCTTCAAGAATGACAGAGAGAGGCCTCACAGTGATGCCAGCCAGCTCCCTTGGATGCATACTGTCTAGTGCCTTGTTTATGTCCAATTTGCTTAAGTACTCCTTAATGTTAAAAATAAATAAATTTCACATTTTTCAATGTTCATATCTTGTGGCTGGGAAGACCCTCTGCAGTTCTGACACTTAGGCAACTTCTCTTAGTGCAAAGTGGTAATGGTAGGCAGCTTTGTCCAACAACACTTCCTGTCCTTTCTCACACGAGAGAGAGAAGATGGTAGTATAAGTTCTGTATACTGGACACTGAAAAGTTTTAGACACTGGAAAACTGGCAAAAAGGACTTTGAGAGTGAAAATACATAAAAATGAGCCTTTTTTTGTTTTTTAACCTTGGAACCAGTAAGATCGGGTATACCAGGAACACCGATTAAGCCAGCTTCCCTCTGAAACAAAACATGCATAACCATCATTTTTCTCACCCAACTCATGACTGAGCTAACCTAAGAGAAAGAACATCCGATGACATATTGCTTCTTGTTCCTTTTGCACAGAATTGCTGAATTGATTCTATGAATTTGTAGGATCATTTATGCTCACTTCTGTTGACTTGTATTTGAGCAGTCTGAGCAATGAGTAATTACAGGGTATCTAATTATGCACCAGAAGTAGCTCTAGAACACTTCAGACTCGTGGACAACCAGAAAAGATTACAGTTTGGATCACGTGGAAGTCTTTCCTTGGTATCACATCAGGTCCTGATTTGGAAAAATTATATAAAACATATTTGTGTTCTACCCAAGCCCCTAAAATCTGACCAAGGACTCCACATTTTCCCCTCTCTCCCTAGTACCTAATAGAGGCTTGAGCTCACAGGGACATACATTTTGACCATCAGGTCCCATGAGTAGCTACATTTCTGCTGCTACATGTGAGCTGAGTGGTTTGGCTCTGTCTTACTCAGTACACCTCTGGGAGAAGTCATTCTGCCTCCTCCATCTTATAAAATGTCCCATTCATGAGGGATGCTCAGAACTGACTTTTCCCATTTTGTTAGCATTGCAATCACCACAGATATAGCCTCTTTAACTGAAAAATACAGTCAAAGGTTATACGGTCATTCACATTTCATAGAATTACCTATGATTACATTACATACGAAGCAGAGTGCTGGTTTCTAGGCTCTATTCAGTAAAAGGTGAGTTTCAGGTATTCCCCCCCCGTCTCCAAGGGAGAGCCCGACCTACTAAGTTTAGAGGCAATGCTACGTGTTAATGTGTAACACTAGGCAGACAAAATCCATTTCTCCCAGTTCCAAGTGAATATTCTAACCACCAAAAAATTACATTGCTAAAATACTGCCTTCCTCAACCCCATATTTTATAAGAGCAAAAAAAGTCAGCTATACAGTTGACTGTTAGTCACTCTCACCTCTTTGTCATTCAAAGTGACTTTCTTCATGCACTGTTTGTGGAAATGAAGTATCTAATTTGGACTTGCAAATTCCATTCAAGGAACTAGATGCTTAAAAATTACATGGCAGTATTTAGCAACTAAGTGTGGCTACAGACAAGCACCTTGTTCATCAAAAATGTTTGCAAAAGGGTAACTAACCATGCTGAATAACATAGAAAACTCCATCTTTTATATCTGGATAAAGACTGGCTGAGCAAAAGAAAAAAAAATAAACCAATAGCTCTGAGTTGAAAGCTATAAACAATTAAATCCTGCATTTAATATAGGGCTTTCAAAGGAAAAGGTATAGTTTAAAGAACTGTAAGGCCTTCCAAGTGGAACCTGAAGGTCTTACTAGTAAAAGCATAGATTTTGCTCATATCCAGAGCTACAAGCTGTATTCAGTCAACGTTCCTTTGAGCATACATAACTCATTAATATCTCAGAAAATATAAAATATTGTAACTGTTTCCTTATGCATTCCTTCTTAGCAAAGCTTGTTAGATAGTTACAGACCTAGTAAGAATTATGCTATGCCACTCAAAGCTACGAAGCACCCTCCATTTACAGCTTCATGAAATATGCCACTGTGAAGTACATTAATTTTGGTCTCAATAAATCTAGAGTTACTGAACTAAGTTCTGTTGGAAGAATTCATCCATGGTCAGATGACTAAGTAGGAGCTTAGAAGA